CCTACAGATGCAAAACCCAGGTCAAGAGTTAAGGAAGGCTGCAACTCTGTCTCAGAGGCCAAGGCTGGGACGGAATTGCCCTCCTCTTCGCTGCTCCTTCTCCAAATCACTCTGAGTCAGCACAGGAGTCGAAACAAATTGATTCCAAACTGTGCTCAGCCACAAGGTTGTTGTGTTTTTTTCCTTCTTGCCCCCACTGTTTATTCCTTCTGGGTTGCGAAACCCACACCAAGGCGCCCGCCCCTGGCAGCAGACCCAGGAGGGAGACAAAGCCACTGGTAAAAAGAAATCCCCAAGCAAATCTGCTCGGTGAAGCCCTGCTATAAGCCGGCAGGGAAGAAAAAAACAGAAAGAAGACCAAGAAGAAAACAATGTGGTACATCGGAGACCAGCAAATCCTTTAAATGTGAGCATGCCAGGGCCCAATCCACTTTCTGAAGCCCCTGGATTGCATCTGTTTGCACCTGAACCCTGCCCCCAGAATCTCCCAGGGAAAGAAAGGTGTTTGCCTTAACACCTTTGTTTTTCGTTGTGGGTGGTGGAACAGACTAACACAGCTACCTATCTGAAAATTAGAGGGGGGGACTTCTCATTGAAAAGGAAGATCTCCTCTCCCCACACCAGCTGGACAACGATGAGTCTCCTCCTATCAAAGGAAGCGCCATAAAGGAGACAGCCGACCGAGAGGGCCCTCCGGAAGAGGATGGCGTCCTGTCTCCGTTTCCTGCGATGGAGGTATTTGGAGGCCACGCTGGGAATGCTTCAAGGCTCCAGAAGGGTTGAGTCTTCCAAAACCCAAACGCCTGCCCGCCAATCCACTTTTTCAGAGGGAGAAAGGAAGCTGGGATAAATCAACTGCCCGATGGGAACGGAGTGCAGAAAGTTTAGTCGTCTATTAAAATGTTGGCAAAAGGGGAAAGGGGGGGAGGGATAAAGGAAAAAAACCCAAATATTCTATAAATTAATAGTTGGGTTGCAGATCAAAGTCCGCTTCCTCGCCTACAGGAGTGCAAAGACATGGTCCGTGTATGTATACTTATCTCCATGACTGGGTGAGAATACAGATAGCACATGTAGTGGCAATGGTTTGTTAAATCCAAGAATGGGACTATCAAAATATCAATTACTTCAATTACCATGTTATGGTCAGGACAAGACCCTTGGGCCGGTGGATCCAGCTGTCAGAGAAAAGTTGAGAGATGCTTCTGGGGCAGAGGTCAGAATCTGTCAAAGATCACTGTGCAAAGCATTAGAGAAAGCTAGGCTGTTGGCATCTGCCATGCACTAAGAGGCCTTGATCTCTATTCAAGCCCTAAGGGACACACTGGAAGTTGTTTATGTAGCCAGTTCTCACCACCTTTCTCTTGAGTCTCTCTCTCTCTCTCTCTCTGCAATTCCTTTTTTTCCTACAACCATCACTTCAAGATCCACAATCATGTCCTGGGAGGTTGAAGCTTTCTGGAATCTCACACTGTCAGAAGGGCACTCGTCTCTCCCACATGAAGACACCAAGATGACCTATTCAGGACGACGATACTTCCCTCTCCTAGGGGCTTATGAGGAACTGGTCCACATTTGCCTAGAGGCCACCTTCAAACTCAACCAACTCCTGACATGCAACAGGCAGGCAACAAAGCTGTTGAGTAGTTTGGGGTGGAGATGAACGCCGGTTGCTTTCCCACCCTGGGAAAAAAGGAAGGAGCCATGAGGACAGACCCGAGGAAACTAAAGCCACATGTCCCGGATAAACTGCATGTGAAAAGCTGAACATGCAACAAGGCACTTGCCAGGCATTTCAACACACACAGAGGCAACGCTCCCTCCTTCCTATGAGGTCTGGCAGGCAATTAAGAAATTGGACTCTGCTCCTCTCTTCGTTAAAAGTCCCCGTTTTGTTTTTCACAAACAAGGAGAGCTTGCAGCCGAAGCCCTTGAGCAAAGAAAGGTTAAGACTGATGTCGTAC